CAAAAAAGGTGTTATCGCCACAATTAGCTGTGGACGCACTACCAATATTATATTGGCTTTAATCATTTTTCCACCCTTTCACCTATGTAGATACTCTAGGGACTTGTTCGGCAAATATGTAGCAAAAAAATACAGGATTCTGATAGGATTGTATAATGCAAAACAAATGGTTCAAAACAAAGGAAAAATACAGGATTCGTGGTTTAAATAGATAAAAAACACATAATTATATATATGAGAGAAAAATATATAAAGGAATTTTTTTCAAGATGTTTGAGCTCTTGCTAACTTTTCTCTCTATATGATTATCCATTCCAGAGAAATTTTAAAAGAAAAGGTAAGATTCCATCCTCCATTTCAAAGGAAAATTCCTATATGATTGAAATCCTACAGGTTTCCTATATTTTTCCCGGCCATTAGATGTACAAACAAGGTGCGATAGATTTGGTATTGTTCTCTTGTTAAACAGGAGCTGCTCTGCTACAACAGTAATGACTTTATAGCCTACAACTACAAAGTACAAACTGCAAAGCATGTAAACTGAACAAGACCAAAAGAATCCTGGGGCAAACATCTTATAATTCAAGTGGTCATGTGGCACAACGACCTAAAACCAGATGATGGACCACCAGCGTGGTATTTCTCTTATTTTGATTGCTGAATCAGAAAAAAAAATAATACCGTTGATGAGGGGCATGTGAAGACGATTATGAATAATCCAATGAAAGCACTTGATCCAATCTAATTAAGTAGCAGCTAGGTTGCCTGTTTATCTTCCACGAAATGGAGCAAAGACGATAATTAACCAACAAAACCACTTACGAGTCGATCACTCACTCAAACTCTTCTACCTCTCCTAAGTGCTGTGCTGACCATGATCTGTTCTTTTAGCAACATAAACTAACATATCCTCCCCCAGGAGATCAAAAGGCTGCAGGCGGAGAAGCATGAGGGAAAGTGGTAATAATGATCTCCATTTTCTTGCAAGTTGAGTGCAATTACAAGGCGATAAGGATCATTAAACTTCAGATTAAAAAATAAACACCAATCGGCACTTGAGCTGCATCCAGTAAGAATCCTCGCTTTCTAGTCAGATAGATAGAGTTCGGTGTAAGTTCAGAATGACAAGCCTGCTGATGAGAGATCCGGAACCAAAAAAAAAAAAAGGAAAACATGAATCTCTCTGAAGATGTCTGAAGAGAAGACCAGCCTCCGGCATTTCAGCACGCAACCGTGACCCGCACTGGATGATCGACGATTCAATTATGTGAGGTCGAGTTCGAGAAGTTCATATAAACAATGAGGGAATTAATTCATGGCTTCGATTACATTTCTCCTCTTTCCCTTTCGAGCCCGGGGACTCCCTCCCTGGCAGCGACGTGCTCGTGCATGGCTTAGCTTTCCAAAAGCGTGCTACTAGCTCTTTCTTTCTGCTTTGCTTTGCTGGCCTGCACTTGGCGGCCTATAGCTCGATCGATAATGAATAATCATGCAAGAGGCTGATGCAGGCTAGCTCTCTCTCTCATCACACACAGGAGTCGTCGTCTGTGATCTCTCCTTCAAATTCCATCTTTCTTCCATTGGGACCAAGAACGTCTGGATTCTGGGGTCGTAATTCGATCGCCTTCTTTTCGCATTCGCAGTCGGTTTTTCGGTATGTTCATGTGAACAATAAGTTGTCTTCATGGCCAAGCAAAAGCTTTCCTTCAGGTAATGATGGGGTGTAAACTGGGAAGTGAATTTTTTTGTCCCTCGAGGGGACATCCCATCATTTTGTACATAACGTTTAAAAAATTATCAAAAAAGATTTAAAAATTTGTCAAAATAAATCAATATATGATATATCTTTTCGCAAACATGCAAGTTAAAATTCGACTTATACAATTCGAAACAAAAATAATAATTTTGATCATGAATTGTACGTTCTTTTTATAGTCAAATTTGTTATTTTTGTTTCTACTTGTATAAGTTGAATTTGAATATGCATGTTTGTGAAGTGACGTATCACATATTGATCTATCATACTAATTTTTTAAAAAAATTTGTGATGACTTTTTAAGTAACATGCAAAAACGAGGGGATATCCCCTTAAGGCCTTGTTCAGTTACGCCCAGATTCAATCTGGGCCGAGAATGACAAGTAAGAAATTTATGATAGATACAATGAGAGACCGAGATTTATTCCGTGTCGGGAACCAATTTACTCATATTAAGTACAACAAAACATCCGGATTAGTTCCACACCTATTGACTAGTGGATTGATTCTCGGTCTCTTATTGTCCCTATCACGAATAAATTGGTTCTCGGCCCGGAATAAATCCCGGTCTCTTATTGTATCTATCATAAATTTCTTACTATCCTTGTCATTCCTGGTCTGGATTGAATCCGGGCGTAACCGAATAAGGCCTAAGGGATGAATAGAGTTTCACTGTAAACTGTTTTGATTTTTTTTTCTCTGGTGTTTCATTGGCGTTCTGGTATGATCAGAGAGCAGAAAATGCGCAATACTGTTTGGTCAGTACGTGCTATTAATTCAAGTCCCACTAAGATAAAGATGATACCATTGCACCCTGAATAATTCAGGTGCAACTTCAACGGTTAATGTGTACTGATATTCTCAACTAAAATCTTTGAGCCCCTGCAGCTTACAATAAAAGACGAAGATTCTTTGACACATCTCTGAATTTTTTTTTATCTAAACTAAAATCAGTGCTGCTTATCGACAAGTGTCCATTGATTAATTGCACACACCCATCAGAGGATCGGCACTAAGCCATGCAAGGCAAGTGCCACTCGTTGTGCACTCGTGCCTAGTTGGAACCTATCTCGGTTTAGGCGTTAATTAACAAAGTGGTTAAGCCCTTAATGGCCACCCATAAAAAGCAGCCAAAGCAACGAACCGCGAGAATCCAGTGGCCTAAAGATAAGTGGGTGCAGAGATATGCGAGAATCCACAACGCGGCCAAAGAATCCACCCCTGCGAATATATAATTTCCCCGCGAGGCCGCGAGCCCCAAACATCGCCTATAGGTTAATTGCTCAGAGTGATTCAGTTGCTGCCACGAGATGTGGCTATATAAAGAGCTTGAGATGCACCCAGCCATGGCCAGAGATCAATTAATGCTCTAACACCTGTCCCCATCTGAATAGCCCGGGAGCTTCCTCGCGAACGATGTCGAGGAGGAGGAGGAGGAGGAGGAGGAGGAAGAAGAGGTGCCAAGCTATCGCACTTTCAGAGGTGTGAAGTGTTGTGAGTGCGAGCTGCAGGTCGGGACGAAGCTTAGCATGCTTGCTGCCATGGCTTCCAGCGGTGGTCGGCGAGCGAGCAGGCGGCGGCGGCGGCAGAAGAAGAAAGAAGGCAAGTCTTATCGGCAAGGGAAGGCTAAGCCTTTCTTCCAGGTCTCCCTCTCTCCATCTAAATCCGTTTTTGGAGGAGGAGGAGGGGGCTATCTCGTTTTAGCTAATCTGTTGTGTGTGTTGGTGATGGTTTCAGTTCAGTTTCAGTTTCATGTTTGTGATCAGTGAGAGTGATGGTGTGTCAGTGGTGGTTTAGATCATGTGTTAATTAGTTCTGTGGGCGTGTCTTTGTGTTGGATCTTGGGGTTGGGTTTTCAGAAAATACTATTGCTGTGGTGTGTGTGTGTGTGTGAGTGAGTGAGTGAATTAATGAGTCTCTGAAAATTCTGGAATAATAAGAATGTAAGCAGATGATGTATGTGCCTTGGTGCTACTTATATATGTGCTCTCGTTTTCTGATATTACAGATACATGAGACACTATATATTCATGCTACTATTTGACAGATTCAGTTGTTTGAAAAGGGAAAAAAAAACAGGCTAGTTAAACATATTCAGTAAGACAGTTATCTGAATAGATGAGCTTTATTGCATCCACATTTTCTGAAGCACCATGTCTCTTCTTCTATAAATTCAGTTGTTTGTAAAGGGAAAAAAACAATATAAACATATTCAGTAAGACAGTTAACTGAATAGATGAGCTTTATTTCATCCGCATTTTCTGAAGAATCATGTCTCTTCTTCTTCTTCTTCTTCTTTTGAAAATTCAGAAGCACCATCCCATAGTCGGGATTTCAAATATGAGGGAGATTTTGGGGTTGTTTGGATCGTTTGTTTGATGTTGTTTAGGATTGAACCTTGTTTGTTTGTTTGTTTGGTCTGACAGAATCCCCGATATGAAAAACAAAGTTTTCTCAAAAAGAGCTATCCCCTTTCCTCAAAACTGATAGCTAATTGGGTTCCATAATTCTTATTGTTTTGGACAAGCTTAACTTTCACTAATAATAACCTTTAAAGTATTTAGTTTGAACATACTACAACACAACGTATAGATTACTCTCAAAAGTTACTTTAATAAACTTAAATATTTATTACTTATATATATATACCGCACATCCTATACCGCACCCAGGTGCGTAATAAATAAAATGCTCCCCCTCACATCCTACCCCCACCCCACCCACCCACCCACTCCCTCCCCACCCCCACCCACGCCTACCGTTCCCAGAGGTACTCCGTATTAGAATGTCGTTCCCAGAGGTACTCCGTATTAGGATGCAACCAACCAAAACCCACCATCCGGGAAACTATTTTAACAGCTCGAGTGGACGTCTACCCGTTTATTGCATATCATCTAAATAATTATGAAAAAAATTGAAAAAATATGAATAAGATAGATCAATATATAATATATCAATCGACAAACATGCAAGTTAAAATTTAACTTCTATAGTAAAAAAATAACAAACAAAACTCAAATTACTATATGTATATTTGCAATTAAATTTGTTATTTTTGTTACAACCTGTAGAAGTTGAATTTGAACTTGCATATTTATGGAGTGATATATTACATATTGATCTATCTTATCAATTTTTTTAAAATTTTTTCGTAACCATCTAATTGACATGCAATAGGATGGACGTCCACTCGAACTATTGGAATCCTCTCCCCCCACCACCCTATTTTAAAATTTTTCGTAACCATCTAATTGACATGCAATAGGATGGACGTCCACTCGAACTATTGGAATCCTCTCCCCCCACCACCCTATTTTTCTGGATCGTACACCATCCACTTCCACGTTGATTTCCCGGATCGAACAAGAGGGAGAGGGCACAGGCGGCGACGGTTGGCGGCGTGCGACTGTTGACTCGGGCTTCCTCCGGCGGCCGGCGACGGCGACGGCTTGTGGCAGCGGCGGGCGGGCGGCTGCAGCATGCGACGGTCTTGGCGAGGCCGTACCCCAGGGCATCCTCGTCCTGGCCTCGCCGCCCTCGACCTCGATTCGCCCTGGATCTCGATGCCGAGTTTGGATCTGGAGATGCGGGGTCGCATCCTCCCGCTGTCGCTAGCCGATTCGCCTTCTTGCCAGACCATCACCACTCTTCTCGTGACTGCGAGAGGTACACATCGGCTGCACCAATTTGCTCTCTTTTTGCATTTTTCTCATTGTGTGGGCAGTGGATGTGGTGAAGGAGCTTGGCGCGTGAGGTCACGATGCAGCCCAAATGCGATCTGCATCACGTGGTTCAATCTGATGCGTGCGTAGGTCAGGAGTCTCGTTGAGTCCTTTTTTTTCTTTTGGACTATTTGAAGCTCTAATTTTTTGGTTGAACCACGTTCTTACGATGTGCTAGAAATTCTTTTTTTTTTGTGTGTGTTCGAACGTGTGTTCCTGATTCTTTTTTGGTGAGATTTCCTTTCATGAGCTTCACGTTCAACAGAGCATCTAAGTAATTCGTGTTCCAGTTGTACTCCCTCCGTCCCCTCCGCCCCCCCCCCCTCCAACCAAACAAACCTTTGGTTTTCGTGTCTAATGTTTAACCGTCCGTCTTATTTAAAAAAATATGAAAAAAAAATTAAAAAGACAAGTCACGCATAAAATATTAATCATGTTCTATCCTCTAACAAAAATAAAAATACGAATTATAAAAAAAAATCATATAAAACGGACAGTCAAAGTTGGACACGGAAACCTAGGATTTGACTTTTTATGGGACGGAGGGAGTATTTGTTTCCTGAGTTGATTGATACCAGTTAGTGGAGTATGTCAGAAAACCCAAAGCAAAGCCGTGGTGATGAGAGCTACACATCCACATAACTTGTTTCTATTCTGATTTTACTGACTTTAATCTCTGTGTTGTTTTAGGGTGAGTTTGAGGGATAGGGGATTGAAAAGATTGGAAAGATACGCAAAATGAAGTGAGCCATTAACGCATGATTAATTGAGTATAAATTATTTTAAATTTCAAAAATAGATTAATATGATTTTTTAAAACAACTTTCCTATATAAATTTTTTTTGTCAAAAACACACCGTTTAATAGTTTGGAAAGCGTGTGCGCGGACTACGATGTGATTTCTCACCCTAACTCACCAGAACGAACGCTCCCTTATTGTTTTTACTGTAACGTTTCTGAAAATCCCTGATTGAACAAGCACTCAAGGAGGCTCCCGAAATTCGACATATATTAAGGTTGATGAGCTCGCTAGTACCTAGTACTTGGTTATCTGAAATTTTCTTGCTCTATTGAGCAGCTGGGATGAATTGGAGCAATCATGTGGAACAGAGCCGTTTGGATGTATTGGTCGGAACATTTTGTGCAAATTAACTTTTTTTGCTCAGTATATACCCATAGATATATGATGTTTCATTTGACTGACTGACTAATAAGTTTCCTGTTGAACATACCATTTTTACTCTGTATATTTTTGACAGAATATACTTCTTCAGACTAAGGTCTAAATTTTACTGAAATTATTAACTTATAATTCTTGCAGGCGTCAGCAGCTGCAGTGTGCACTCTTGCAGTGGATGCTCTGCTGAAGACGTACATGTTCTAAATTTTTTGGTTGCTCATCTATATCTGAATTTTCTTTTTAATCGTGAATTCATCTGTGTTTAGGAAACTACGTAAGAACATGAGAAGATTATGCCAGTGGTGGTGGTGCCACTGGAATGGCATCCTGGTCATTATCCTCGACATGTCTGCCGTCAACGCACGTCGCCAGCGGCCAAACACAAAGAGCAGGGGTGACGCAGAGATGTCGACCCAGGACGAGCACACCACAATTGATGACCGGCTTCGGTGGCAGGCGATGCCAAAAATCTTCACGACTGATGCCCTCTGGACTGATAATTTTTGACAACGAGTGTATATGTGTGTTTGTAACGATGATGGCACGATCAATTGAAGAAAAAAACCATTATACGTGTATTCTCGTGTAGTAAAATATTTACTGCCTTAAGCACAAAGCAATTTATTTACTGAGAAAAGACGAAACTAATATTTCTTGCCATATCAAGAGTTTTTACTGAGAGAAGACTGAGAGTAAATTATTTATCGAGAGAAGGACGTTGGTACAAAAATCAGGAATGAGATAAGGGCGCAGAACTATCTAAGAGTAATACATTTAGTGAAAGAAGAAATCGACAGAGAGTAATACATCTAGTGAATGAAGAAATCAACTGAGAGTAAATAGTAAAGTAATACATTTACTGAAAGGAGAAAATCAACTGAAAGTAAATCGTTTACTAAGAGAAGGATGCGAGAAGAAAAAACAGGATAGAGAAAAGATGCGAACCAGGGTGCATGTGGGGGCGGTTGGGGGTGTGGAGTCGTTTACTAAGAGAAGGATGCGAGAAGAAAAAACAGAATAGAGAAAAGATGCGAACCAGGGTGCATGTGGGGGCGGTTGCGGGTGGGGAGGAGAGAGAAAGGTGGTTTCCTGGTGGGAGTGAGGGGGGGTGGGGGTGGAGGGTAGGTTGTGAGGGGAGCGTTTTAGTTATTACGCACCCTGGATGTGATTTAGCGCTGTCCTATATATATTTGTTTGTTTGTTTATTAATATAAAATCATAGTGAAAAATATGTTTAGGAGATTGTGTCGTTGTCTAAAACATCAATTAATTATGGAACTAGAGAGACGATACCATGTTTTTTTTTTGTGAAAACTTGTTGAGTTCCCTTTTCTATTCTTTCGTGGGCCAAACATGATTATTATACTTGGTGATACCATGTGCTTTGCTACGGAATATATGGATGAAAATATGTTTAATATTATAGAAATGATAAATGTTGAAGTATTGTGAAAATGATGCGAGGAAGATGATATGATATATGTTGAGCTCTAGTATTATATTTTGCATGATTAGTCATGCTTGTATGATATTTAAAATACTCTATAATAGTAATTGTTAGTGGGTGATGATGTATCATACTTAGGAGATGAGTCGACAATAACAAATTAACATAGTAAACAAACAAAATTTAGAAAATAATAATAAAATATCGTTATCAGAAAACAATATCTTATTTTCCTTACCCATACAAGCACTAATTATTATCTCTAACCGGCCTATAGTCATGTATAAGGGGAAAATCTTTTGGTCCTGGGAATGGCACCCCTTATTTGTTCAAACATATAAATATTTATGGGAACTTCTTAAAATATTTGACTACAATTATGTAGGATCTAGGTCTACAAAATTTAACTTGATTCACACATCAATAATTTTTTTTAAAAAAAGCATATAAGCAATACATGCATTGTTCTGACCTAGATTTTTTTTTACCAAACTTGAATTTTGGTGAAATGATAACCATACTCTGTATTGTCAAATTATTACTTCCTCCGTTTCATATTATAAGACTCTCTAGCATTGCTTACATTTATATATATATATATATATATATGTTAATGTATGCCTAGATTCATTAACATCTATATAAATATGGACAATGCTAAAAAGTCTTATAACTAAAACGGAGGAGGTAGTATATCACAATATGTGTAAGGGAAGTTCCCTTTAGATAGAATGCATCTTCCATTCGTTTAGCTGTAGTATATGTTACAATTAAACTACGCTCGGAGGGATGCTTGTTTTATAGCCTTAGGCCCATTTGGTTCTGACTAACACATAGGATAATGATTAATAGATCACTTAAGGCCCACATGACGAGTCGAAGGAATAAAGTTGGCCATATATCCTTTTTCATAGAAAAAAAAACAAATATCATAAACTACTCTCAGGAATCTTTTAAAAAACAACTTTTTTGGCGAACTTTTATAACTTTTGTATGTCAACAAACACGCCCTACTTCCGTTGTTAATAAACTGAAGACCCTATTCTCTCACTAAAATACTTTGTCTTCACTATACCTTTTTCCCATGATGTTGCATTTGTATCATTTAATAGCCAACTGTTCACTTATTTCATTGCTCACTCAATGTTCGTTAGGCCATTCCTAACCCAATAATTAGGATAGTGTCCATAGTATTAAATAAGCTACCACATAGAATGAAAAATAATGTGACAAGTGAATAAATGAGGAAAGAGAAGGAAACCATGTCTTGCATGAGGGCAGTTCCAACCCATAACACTAGACATGGTTTCTATAAACTCCACATCATCAAGAAACTAGTAGTAGACACTACTGTTCCAATGCAAATACCACTATTCCATACTTCAATTTAATGTTACTTATCTCACATGATGTTTTGGATGTTGTGTAGAAACTATGTCTCATGCAAGACATGGTTTCCTTCTCTTTCCTCATTTATTCATTTGCCACATCATTTTTTATCCTAGGTGACAACTTATTTAATGCTATGGACACCATCCTAGTCATTGGGTTGGGAATGCCCTAATACTTGCAAATGGAGCTATCAGCAATCAGGTCGATCTGACTGAAATTTCTGGTTTAATTATTTTGTTATTCTAGTTGTCAACAAATATCCAGTTATTATAACATGAGATTATTACTCTAAGACAAAATACTAGGATCATGAAATTGCTTTGGCTCGGTACATCCACACTTATTAGATAAACAGGTCGAATGCTTTCACTATCCTTAATGAAATATTCCATTATCTAGTAAAGTCTATAGTAATAAACCATTTCTTTTTTCTCTCCTCCCTTCTCAAGGAAAGATAAACCCTATATACCAAATGATTACATACACCTTACACGTACCACACTTTACATGCCCTTAATTTCTTTTAGGAACCAAGCTTTACTTTACATGCTCTGCTACTTGGTTCACTTTGTGATAAGAGAAAAAGAAAAAAAAAGAGTCCAATTTACTCCCCCAAACTATCTCACTGAATCACTTAACCCCCTAAACTATTTTGCAGCTAATTTTACCCTTGAACTATTAAAATAGTTCACTTTACTGGTTACTTACATTTCACTTCTTTACTGATCTTTTTATACCAGCAATATTTTAAGCTTTAATTTTGTAGAGCCATATGGTCTCATTTTTTTTGCTTATGCTTTTATGCTTATCAGCCAAAATTTAAATTTTCAACCTTAAATTTGGAGCTGATTTTGAGGTTTTTTTCATTGAAGCTTATTTTTAGCCATTGCTTTTAGATCGCTAAGAACACATCTATAAAAGTTTTATTTACAAATTACTTTTCATTTGCAGATATGAAGTTTCGCTTATTCCGCGAATAAGCGAAATAATGGCTCCGATAGATGACACCATTATCAAAGTTCAAAAATTTTCATGACTTTCTGCTTGAACTTTAAAACCTCTATGTTAAATTAGTCTTAGTGCTTCCACCCTAGTAAACAACGATTCACAAATTTCAAAAAATGTTGAGATATAAGTTATAATGCATAAATATATCCCACCATTTATCATTGCAAAATATGACATATAGAAAGAGAAATGAAAAAGAAAAATACTCTTAGAGAATAAGACGAACCATTTTTAATAATTCGAGGTGTAAAATGAGTCAAGAAATTGTTTAGACTCCAGCGAAAAGGGTTAACCCGGAAGTGATATGGTTGGAGTCGCTTCGTGTATAAGTGTTAACCCGGAAGTGATACGGTTGAAGTCGCTTAGTGTATAAGGGTTAACCTGAGAGTGCACTTTCGTTCTCGCTTCGTGTACATACAGTGAATAGTGATATATGATTGGAGGGACAAGCGGACGTTGTAAGTTGGTTGCAACCACACAACTCAGGCAGGCTCACAGCCCAACCAGGGAAACCTACATCTCTGGCCCACGAGGCCCGTTTAGGCCCAGGAGCGAGTCCACAAAGGCATCATCGCATACGTGGGTTGCCGAATATTCGCTCCGCTTCCCCCCTCACGCGAGATATTTCCTCTCCCCCGGTGGGCCGAGCCGCCACGCCACACCGCCCCCTGTATCGCTCACTCGCTTACTATATAGCCAGAGGGGAGGGAGCGGGTAGGGTTTTACCTCCTCCCCCCCGCAGCGCCGCCGCCGCCACACACTCCCCCACATCTCCCCTTCCCTTCCACTCCTCCTCCTCCTCGGATCGGGAGGCGGAGCGAGCAATCCCCCAAGGTGATTTCCTGCTGCTCTTCTCTCATCTCCCCCCATCCTCTCCGTTGCGTGAATCTGTTGTGTGGTTCGTCGTCGATTATCTTAGCTAGGCTAGATTCCTCGCGGTGGTGGTGATTTGAGTGCGTCCATCTGGTCAAAGGTTCGAGGTAGGAGTAGTAGTATGTGTGGGTGCTCTCAGTTCGTTGCATGTTTGGGTTCTGTATCTGGTTTGGATTATCATGTTTAGTGGTTGGCGCGGTAGTTGTAAATCTGTGGGGTTTTGTCACGCTGGTTAATTTTTTGGTTTCGTCCCGGTTCCGATCGACGTTTCTTTGGGTCGTCAGGTGTAGCGAATGGATGGGATTGGTTCGATCCGTCTGGTAGGGATTCGTTCTGCTCGTAGATCTGCTGTGGATTGCTTTCGCGGTCGCCTGCTGGAGCTAATTTGGCAGGATTAGGATGGTTACCCATTTCTCCAGGGCAGATCTATGCTATGTTCGTTGATTGGCGTGTGCTGGCTACAGACTTGTTCATGTTGTTCACTAGATTGTTAAACATGTGACGTCAGCCGGTGATTGCTTGTCTGCCACGGTTTTGTTTGTTGTCCTAGTGAAATATGCACAGATACTTAAGGGCCGTGTTTTTGTTTTCACAATAATGGCAGTAGATGAGTTGAATTCAGTTTGTCATATCGTTTTTGTATCAAAACAAGTTTTTTTCTTACTGGTTAAGTGCTTCTCGCGGTCCCGCCAGAATTTTTATGTACTGGGTATCTCTGTTATGAGTACTCCCATATCCTGCATGTACAGTACTGCAGTGGTGAATTGGTGATGTGCTGATGGTAATGAATATGGCGGAAGTGTATCAGTTTGCTGCTTTTGTTACATTTGATGTGTGTTTTCAAGTTTCATCTTTTTTTTCTTATTAATGCTGCATCTATCAAGCTGTGCAGTTTTTTTCTTTGATCGTCTTAAACCTAACAGTGTAACTGCATCAGTGT